TCAATGTCAACCCATATAGGAACAGTAATTAGAGGCAGAGGAGGAAATAGACGGTATTAAATTGTTTTCTGTTTTGCTTCACACTCTATAATTAATATAGTATTATTTCTCCCATTTATTTGTCTATGAGCTTATTATTATTAAATTGGCAGAAATCATTTAACGCTTATACAATCCTCGCTAAATCTAAAACAATGTATTATGCGAAACTTTTATTGCGGAGTGCAATGATAATAATAATAATGCTATTAATGAAATATTCACGATATGACAAGGAAGAAATAAATTTAAAATTTATACATAGCACAGCTTTGTATCTTAGAAAAGTGTCAAATATGTACGATTTTAATATGGGAAAAGTATATTTTTTACAAGATCCAACTTAACCAAGCAGAAAACTTCATTAAAACGTCGCGGTTAAACTCGGCGGATACTTCAGGTGTTGTCTTGGTTAATTAAAGTGGAAAGGCAACTAACTACGTGAGATAACGTTTCAAAAAGGGAAATTAATTGCATGCAAACTTAATTCGTTGTTGGATATACCTATATATACTATGTAGACCTATATATACTATGTAAACTTCAAAATCCAGTTGCCAATAAGGATTTCAAATTCTTGAATCATTTACGAATTGTGGAATGTCATACTTTGCAAAAATTGTGTTCAATAGAACACATGTCGAAAGCATGTAAGAAGGACTGCCCATCAACGCGGGCAACCTCCACTCTGTAAACTTTCAATAATCTTGCATTAATTTATTTACAGAATTTCCACAATTTTGAGAATCTGCTTAGATCTTAATGCATAAAAATAAATAAATAATAAGAAAATTAAACCAATGATTATGCCATTAGACATAAGCGCAAATTAATTTAAAAAAAAAACTATCTGAAAATCGTTGACCAAGAAAAATGACCCTGATATTGAACTTCATTTTCATTCACACCATATCTTTTATTAAGTGTATGTTCGTGTGAGAATTTAGACGATTGCGTGCGAGCCAGCAACAATTACAAGACGGCTATTAGTAATCTCATACGGATTTTTAAAACAAAGGAAAGTCTGAGATTCAACACTAAAATATAGAAAATAACTACTGCCTTTCATTGCAAGCCTATGTAATAAATTTAAAAAATAGCATGGTTATTAGAACAGGGGAAAGGCTTTATAAAACAACGGTAAAGCAATATTTAAAAGGCAATCTCCATGGATTACTCGAACGTTAGAAAGTATTTTTGATTATTTAAACTTTCTAATAACTACGCCTACACACACACAGGAGAAAAACAAGTTGACACACAGTCGTCAATACAAACAAATCCAGGGAATATGATAAAACTGTTGAAAAATCAGTTGGAGAAAACATGTTTCGTTTTTGGCTACGAGAAATAGTTTTGAAAGATGTTTAACTGACCGATTAACAACACTACGTGTCAAATAAAGCAATGAGGGGATTGCCTAAAATAGATGTTCGTCTTCCAAATCATGAGAAGCCTAATGATATAAATGAAATATGTACGTTAAAAAACACCAGTTTTTCCACCGAAATATTCCGAGACAATACAGCTTATATTTTGAGAACAGAATATCTCTAATTCATATTGTTCATCAGTATTTTCTTATTTACCGCAACAAAGGCAGTTCTCAATGATGATGATTTTTGCTTAATAAATATATTAGAATTGCGCATCAGCTATCATAAGTTTTTTAATTAACGTTATCAAATTATATTTTTCAAATAACTTTTTAAATCTAAAGCAGATTTTTTCGTCGCTAAATAAAACTTTATTTGAGAAACATCCCTTCTCTACTTTATACAATTTAATGCTATATTACGTTAAATTTAAGGGGACGGAAGAATGGAGAAAATTAAAATATGAATAAAATCGGATTTAGTTCATTTTAATCTAAAAATAAAATGACATATAGAGAGTGCAAAAGAAACTGGATGTTCATGTAGAAAGGTCAACAGCTGTTTCAAAATATGTTCCAGCAATAAAAAGTTTACGACGGCCTAAATAATTTTGGTACTTCTTATGCCAATGCAAGCCACCTGGTATATTAAATCCAGTGTGCGGCCAGGCACAAAACCCGCTTATGAGCAACTTAATAAAATGCGTTTTTAATAGCGACAGTCCACAATAGAAAGTAAACGACAGTAAACTCTCGCGTTGGCAAAAATGATTAATGTTTATTTCAAAAAATGCAGTAATCTATTAACCCAAATGAGCCCAAACCGAACATTCATAATGTTTCTAAATTTTAAACAAGTGTTCAGCAAGTTCTGTTCACACACATATGTCATGCCGCATCATTTCCTGCCAGAAGTTTTGATTTCCCACGAGTATGTGTGTCTCTGCTTAGAAAACCCTTAGTACCAACCTCTTAATAAAACTATGCATAAAAACATTATTCTGCTCAGTTCTGCGAATCTAAAACACGAGAAGTTTACTTTGAGACAATAAAATTTAATTTTAATTTAAAAATTCAAATTTCAAATTTGAAAATAGATAATATAATTATTTGATCTAATAAAAACACTTTCTATACAGATCTAATTTATTAATAGAATTAGATAAAGTGCCAAACGCCAAAAATAAGCAAAATCAAAATTGCGGGAAAGAATAATAAGTTTTCCTTCTTGTTTTCTTACAAAAATAATTCACAGAGCACATGTTTTCCTAAACAATATTTTATCAACTATAACTGAGAAGCCATCTTCATCCATACAAATTAAGAGAAATATATTCATTTAATAATAAATTTAATAAAGAACTTGACACTGCCTTACACCTTCACTCCATGTATAACAGGATGGAATATGACACTTCACACGCCTGGCTGAAAATCATAATAAGCAAAAAAGTGTCAGAGTTATAAAAAAGTTATAGTTGCTCAAAATTGGGCAACTTCTTAGGAGGGTCACTTCTTTAAGTGGGTTGCAAAGTTTTTGTCAACTGTCACATGATCAAATTGGATCAATCCTATTTACCGTGATGGCTTTAGATTTTAGTTTTATCCTATGCTGTACTTTTGGATCACATGATATCTAAAGAAACGATGTCAAATAAAAAACACTTCATTACCGGGTGCGCTACGTACCAGACGTACTCTATTTTAACCTGTCTTCTCCAAGTAAAATAGAAATAAACAATAAAATAAACACTAACCACAATCAACCAACTAATTAAAAAAAATCGATTAAACCAACTGCTATTCCTTATCTAGCAAACAATTTGATTTGATTCGATTCGTTGAAAATTTGGCGATAATATTCGAAAACACAGTTTTTATTTCTAAAAATCTTAGTATCGGCGACTTCGAAAACGAAAAGTCAAATAGGTACTTGCGAAGAGAGCCGTTTCACTTTTATAGCAGATAAATAGCTGGTTCCTAGCTTCCCTGCGAAAATCCAATAAGAACTGGTAAAACAAATGTCAGCAACTTGTCGTACTAGCTAACTGTCCTATTTTCCTCTGTGTGTGGATTTAAATAAATCTATAAGCCGCTACGACAGTTCCAAATGTAATATGTTTGTTAAATAAAATTTTAACCCCAAAATAAAATTACCAAAGTAAAAAATATGAGCAACCATAATTTAACAAAGCAAAAAGGCAAAGAACTTAATGTTTATGAAACCATTGCACTTGCAATTTTACATAATTTCTTTAAATAATTAAGAAGTTTTATGTGCAAAAACCCAAAAACACACACACACACATAAGATTATCAATTATAGACTATCCCAAGAATGCAAAAAAAAAATTGAAATTATAATTTTGGAAATGCTATCTGTCAAATGATACCATGTTAACCTAGCTAGCAAGTTCATATTGTTAACATTTTTGTGTTGTTAAAATAAGGGAGCCCACCACAGAGCTCTCAAGTTAAGTAACGTTCTTTCCATTCAATTTCAATTTATATCTATACAGAAAAAAAAATTGCGGTCATCTAATAGATTCTAAATAGGTGGAAGTTCGGGATTATTAACTACGCTTACACTACACGATAAGAAAAATTCAACGTAAAATTAAAAATTAGCCTATAACTAAATTTGGGCTCATTCAGGACAATCAAACCGATACCTCAAAACATAATTTTTGTTTAGTTATTCTTGTTTCAGATTTGATCCAATAACAAGAGTAAATTATTCAAAACACTTATGACATCAATTCCAAAACGTAAATACTACACACTACAGAAGCACTGTTTTATGTTGGCTTATAATATATGCAACTACAAGAATTTTCCTAAATTCAAATACTTAACGGATTTTTACTAGCCAACCAATCAAGTTAACATTATTATCAGAAGACAAAGTCTAATTCAATATTGTGGGATATCTAATAAAGAATTTCAAACAAAATAATTTAATTAGATATAACCATATTGAAGTTATAGAGGCTGTATTTATGCCGATAATACAGGAACTTATGAAGCAATTATGAAAACAATGTCTGAGAAGATCAATTCAGCGTGCGCATGCGCGAGATTCCAAATCTCGCGCTTGTAAGCAACGACCTTGCGGCATTCATTAACCAACATGGCCACTGACAGATCGTCAAGAAGATAGGATGCGGCATTTTCGCGGCAGTATTTTCTCAAAATATGTGTATATCTCATTAAATATTCTCGGAAAACGAGCTAACTGTGTGGAAATCGCAGTTGAGAATGAAAATGTGACAAACGCATGTAGAGGCACGCGTGGAAAAAATATCAATGAGGCGTTTGAATTCTCATTGTAGGAGGGCTTCTATACTATGTAACAGCTATATGGGTATGACATATGCCAAGTAGTAGTCCATATGTCTATCATATAAATATAGGATAAACATGTGCAATTATTAATGCCGTCCAGGATATGTTGCAGGAAAAATATTTCCGACCATATTCAAATCCAAGGTATTAATTATTTGCGTAGCAATATATCTTTTCATTACTCTATCCATCCGTAAATAAATATGTAATTTTTGCTGCTAACCTAAATTAGGCGACTTACCTGTACATCAAAATTATGTTGTTGCTGCTGCAATACGGCACTGTCTACTTGGTGAGGTTGTTGAGCAGCAGCTGCATACTGCTGGTGTTGCTGTTGATCATAACCCTGTGCGCCCGCCTGCAAATTAAAGAAGAATAGCATCTAAAAACAAAAATCTAACACACAACCATGTACCTGTTGTGTTTCCGCAAAATGATCGGCGAAATGTTGATTTACACTTTCCGCCAAAGTGACACCCAAATGTGGAGCGAGATGATGGGGAGGCAAATGATGCAAATGGTGGTGTGGCGGCAACGGGCCGCCGCCGCCATCAGGTGGTGGTTGCTTCAGTACCAAAGCCATGGAAGCTGCGTCAAGTCCAATTCCGTTTTTAGTTAGTTCATCTTCTGCAGGTGAAGGTTGTCTACTACCTGGCGTGCGACTATAATCAAACCATTAAATTACTAATAGTTAATGATAATAACAGTGCGTGACCAAAACATTAACGTAATTTAAATAAATATATAACAAAAAAATCATTGCGCAGAAACCACCAAATAAAAAAAATTAAACTGTTCATTTTATTAGACAATTAATGATTACAAATCCAATCACCGCTATTTTTCTACCGCAATTTGCAACCGGTAACCGGTAATAAAAATACCATCAAATTAACCGTTCCCGCCGACAGCCGGTAATGACGACGGGAGCGCCACGAGACGGCGAGCCGCCACAGTTAAAAAACTTCCGACTGCATGGATTCTTATAACCGAGCAGTTTAGAACCCAAGCGGCAGATGGCGCCACTGGTACAGAATTCAGGCAAAATTCATGGCGAGCGTGATGTTGAGAGCGGCGATGAGATGATTAAATACCGACAGTGGCAGCGTTGCCGTGTTTACAAATATATCATTAAAAATGTGAATACACAAAGGATCGTAATTTTGGAAGCTAAGTGTTCACCGAGGTTTTTCACGAGTTTGTCAAAGTTAGCAATAGATGAACAAATCCACGCTATTTGTTGCTATTTCGCTGATTCTATAGGTACAGTGTGATGTTAGCGATACCTTCACTACCGACCGAGATATGGTGTTTTTCGGTCACATAAAAAATAATAATAGATTTTTTACTTTTTAAAATTTCCGATTGAGGTAAAACGTTACTAGGGCAACCAACCAACTAACCAAATACAGTGGGGTACTCAGGGTTTTTTTCTATAATTCTCCATTATTACAGTTGGTTACGGTTTTAGAAAAATGCCCTTGTTGAGACGTTTTTAATCATGTTGGCGGATGTTGAGTGTCATGAAAAATGGCAGAGATGAAAAGCAATTCTTGTTTACTTATATAAGGATATCACAGAAAAACTTCAAGAACAATTTTGCTAACCATGGAAGTATAAAAAAGTTCAGGCGAAAACAACTAATGAAAAATATTAAATCCAAGAAGTTTTTACATTTTAATTTTAATAGCATGTTTAATTTTTAATATTTAGATGATATATTTTGTTAGTATTAATTATAGACGTTGATTAAATTAGAGAATATGTAGAATATGTAGCTCTCCACATTCCGTAACTAATATCCGGTTTAAAATGCTAAATGAAGATAAAGATGAAGAGTGAAAATGCGTAGCAGAACATAAAATCCAATAAAGATGATACGTGTAACTGACGTAGATAGAATGTAGACACTCCAATTATGGCCACTCTATGAAAAAAAATATAGAGGATTCGAATTTGGACTCTCCTGATAAGATGGTAATAACACGATATAAAATAAATTTCATTATATTAAATTTAAGAAAAGCATGTTAATAGGCAAAACTAACCAAAACTAACCAAAAAATTGAAAAAAATACAGCGACACTACGACATTTTACAGAATGGGCGAAACTCAAAAATTTCTCAACAATACGTGACATCAATTGATTTTAAGAGTTTTCGTATGGAAATGGCAACACCGACGGATCCGATTCAAGCACATGTCATTGACTTCAGCCAAGGTAGACGAATAACCTTGAACCCGGCCGATCACAAAGTGACAGCAGAGTGGAACTGGGTAGTTTTGCAAAATAAATCTGCTCGTATGCGTTTTTATATGGTTATAGCTAAGTGTGAAAATTATTTAACGTATTGAAAGCAAAACGGAGGTGATTTAATGATAAAACCCGCGGCAATTTGACCGGAAATATAAAGTTATATGGTAAAAAATTTCAGAATGGATAGAAAATCCATTGGATTTCAAGAGATCAAATGGGTGTATTTTTAAAAATAAAATGTTGAAAAATAAACTTTTTATGGCTTGCGCTTTGTATAAATTTGTCATTTTCAGATTCGAGAGAAAAGTTAATCTATTCACAAAAGTTTTTGGGTGTCTTATTTAATTTTAGTTTATTACATAGGGTTTAGAAGCGTGTTTGAATTATTATTTAAAATATAATTTCAAAGATCTTATCTTAAAGCAATTAACAGAGCACGCATTTGTTCAAATTGAGTGTAATGTTTATTCCTTTAATTCTTATAAACTTATAAATAATTGCAATTATCAGTATTTTACGATTTTAACAAATTAGTAAAATTTTCTATATTTTAGGCAAACTGCAAAAAAATATTCCAGTATATAGTATGTCCAAGATAATGGACTGGCTTAATAATATATTTTCTACAAGATTTTCTTTTTACATGTCAGTATTAAGGAAAGGAACGAAAATATATGGTTTTAATGGCGAAAACAATACAAGTAACATAATAAAACATATGTACAGGAAGTTTTGTTAAATAAACCACACGTTGGGCAAATTTTCCAAAAACGTCGGTATGTAAAAATTACTTAAGAATCGTACTAAAAGAAAGCATAGACACGTTTTCCTATACGAAATTTGCTAGGACTATAACGACTGGAAAGAAGTGAAACGAACTAACTGAAAAACTGCCCATGGGTGCCTGTTTAGTATCCGGTCTCCATAAACTTATTTGGTTAGTTTATTGTTGTTCCATAAAATCCGAAGAGAAATGCAACAAGAAAAAAATAACCAAATCTTTTGTAATATATAGTTACTGTAGACTACAAAAATAAATAAATAAAAAATATAAAGTTAGTTAACATTTTCAATAAAATAAAAAAGTTTCGAACTTTCAGTTTATCATCACACAAGCAAATAATTTGATGCCTGCCCTGCGAGATAGAACAATATTAATTGGCTATTTTTACGCTACGACTAAGCGTTAAAATCCGCGGTATCGCTCAAAGATGTTGTTTATACATTTTAAGATTCAAACTCTCTAAGTCCTCCAAAAAATGAGTACGAAATCTACGTCTATTGCCAGTAAAATAAGGCACTAATTTCTGAAATTTTCTTATTTTTATTTATAGAGTACAATGGATGGGGCAGCATTAGATGAACGAGGTATAGATATTTATCTAAAACACTATTTAAAAAAAATTGTGACAAATTACGATCATTTTCAATTATAACTGAAAAAACAGTTTGCAGTTTACGTACTCATTAGAAGTAAAGCTTCCATCATAGTAACGCAAATGTTAAGCAGTAAGATTTGTAAATCAAAACGAATAACCATGATTACCTACCTCAAAAGAAAAAATATGGTTGTTTCCTATCAGCTTTTCGCTATTAAGAATAACAGGCAAGGAAATGTTTTTCTTTTTAGCATTCCAATACATTGAATAAATCCCTAATCTTCGATACCGATTTGCATGTAACTATACATAAATATAGAAATATTAAAAGAACATTATTTCATTAATTTCTAAACGATCAAAAAACAATTTATTTGCGTTACTAACCAAAGCAAATGGATTTTTTTATCAATTAGTAGTCAAATTCGAAAGTTAACTTTTGTTTTTCTTAATCTCCAACCGCGTGAAATTATTCAGCGGTGACAGCGTCGGTAACAGTTTGTTATCTACGGTTTTTAATGATCGCGATATTAGATTTGAACAAATTGAAAATTTCTATTAAAAAAAAAATGTTGGTACAATACGTATTTCCCCAAAATAATAAGTACTTTAAAAAATATTACCAATGTATTCTGTTTATTTCAACAAAATCTCTGACTTTGTAGAAATCTACCTAAGAAATATATCTTTTTGGCTGCAATCATGACCACATATTTTCAAATTAAAATTTGAAAAAGTACTATTGAAACAGTAGTAACGGATTCTTATAGGAAATCGCTTATACACATCTGTACCGATTTCTATTACTTTAAAGTACAGTGTGTCTCCGTGGAAAAAGCTGTAAAGTAAAAATGTTATTAACAGTTTTTATATTTGAAACAATTTTAGGTCCTTTATCAAAATGACAGCTTTTTTATGCCGGACCTGAAGTATCTCTTTAAATCAGATCGAACACATTTTTAAACAAATATGATTAATGATAATTCGCAAGCAAGTCTTATTGGTGCAAGCGAAAATTGAAATATTTTTAAAAGTCATACTTGGAAATATTTGAAAGTGGTAAGAAACCATATGAACCAAAATTTCCCCTTATATTTGAAGCGGGATATACCGAGGTAAGATTGTAATTATATTTATGAAGGTAAGAGAATCCTGAATTTTTAAAAAATATGGCATTGTATTGTCTCAAAATATTAGACACAATACCTTTCCGAGGGAAATTTGAATGCTGTGAGGTGCCTCGAACTTTTACAAAATAAGTTTCCTAACTCTCTTGATAAGTTTCTTCATTTACAATTACAACATGATGGAAGACCTTTTTCCTAATCGTTGGATCCTCACACATTTATACTCCTTAATTTCTTTCTTCTTGGATTAATCGCACTAACCAATATTTAATTCCTTTTATGTATAAGTTAAAAAAGAACTCTTTATATTTAATATTGTTAACTAGAAATTTATTCTAAATGAAAAGTACTCTCCCCTCGTGATACATATTCATTTTAGTAGTAAATTAATGATAAAATTTGTATGCAGCCTCAGTTATGCGTTATTACCTTTTTTTGACTAAATCTTTTTATAATTAAAAAATAATTGTATTTTGTGGGACACCCTTTATTTTTAATATTATAAATAAGTGTAGGTATCAAGTGCTATTAGGTAAATGTAAGATTGTGTAAAAACAATTGCGCCAGTCTCTCGCCAGCCCTAGAGGAAATGTTGCGTTTTAAAGGATTATTATGCTAATACAGTGACCAAAATCACATCCCATAGCAACCGAAGTTGCAGAAATTTCATCAAATTGCACATTGCGAAATATTCGATGTAAGTAGTAAGTAGGTTGCACATCACACATGATTGGTTTCATGACGATTCTATTTTTTTTTTTTGATAAATTTGATTATTATCAATCATAGCTCTAAAAACAAGTGTCGAAGGATAGTTGTGGGACACGTGTTTACAAGCTTATAATTGTGTTTCTGTCTATTTTATGGCATTTGCATTTTATCAAAAAGATAAAGCAACGGATCCCGTAACAATGAACTAATTTTTTTTACTTAAAAATAATTTGACGAGTTAATCACCACCATCCATGGGTTTGACATTATCAAATTGCAGTTACATGACAAAGGGTGGAAAATAAACAAATAATAACTAAAAATAAATGCGTCATTTTTTAAGTCTCTGTCAAATAACTGTCTTTTCCGTCTCTCCAACTGTATGCATAGAAATTTTGAAGAAAAACTACTGTTCGAAAATTGCTTCAATTTTGATAATTACTGGCTATAAACGCTTAACTGTGGCAAGTGAATGAGAAGAACATTTCATAAATTAAGAAAAGCCTTCACTCTAGCTTGCGCTGATGCATTATATTATTACGGTCAAAATCCGCGTTTAAATGGACGGACCCCACATTAAAAAATAATGCATTCTGTTTAAATAGCAACGACTTTTTTAAGTTTACAAAAAAAAAAGTGGAATAATTACAATTCAGAGCATAGTTGGCACTCACGTTAAATTTAATTAAGGGACAAAAATAGTACGATACGGACTATTAATAACTGTATATGTATCTGTCACTTTATACCATGAAAAAAAAAATAGCTCGTACATCACCGCTGACGCTAATTTCTCGTTATTAATATCAATTTTCCCTTTCTGAGAAACAAATAGCGCATGACAACAAAAAAATGCCTTGCCGCCGTGACGCGTAACTTAAAAAGATCCTTTTTTTTATCTGAAAGCTCGCTCCGTCCCCGTCGTGATTAATCACATTTCTTGAAGACAAATCATAACGCTTTTATATTTGCCTCACTTTTTATTTGGGATAAAGGAGTAGCAATCTGCGAAACGACACGAAAAAAAAGTAAGCAAAAGCTAATTAATAAAATAAATATTCTTTACGATTATCTTGACAAACAACAATTGTCGATTTAATAACAGGTAAACAACGGCATTTCGTAAAATGCGGAAGTCGGTCGTAGCAAATTAGATCAACAGGCTTCACCTTGATATTTTTTTTTAAGAAACTGAACAAGCCCCCGGTACAAAGGCCTGGTGATGAAGTATTGACACGACAGCGTGCAATTGCCGCATTTAACCTACACTCTTAACAGGCGCTACCTACTTCCACTTCGTCGGACGCCTCGGTTAAAAGGAATGGTAAATACCATTCGGATCGGAGACTAATGTCCGTAAACTTTGCTAATATATCCCACACACCCACTATAATATGGTCTCCGGCATACAAAAATGTACATAAATAAGACAGTTTTACTTGAAATGTCGTATTTAATAATGCAAAACAGGTGACAAGAAATAATAGTTTCAATTTAACATTCTTACAGGCACTCTAGAATTTTTATTCAAAGTGCAGTACGATAATCGTGTACTGGGCCGGCAAAATTTTTTTCTTACCAAATTTTATTTTGTTTATGCTTTATAGTTTGCTCTCAACTCTATAACAATGTTGTTTCGAGTTGTTTCGATTCATCGAAAGTGACAATTAAGAAACAGGTGATCTTACTGATTACTAGTGAAACTAGGAGAACGGGTTAAGCAACGTATTAGACTATGTTGTATAAGCTACTTAAGGGACCACAGAACTGAAGACCACTAGTAAATTTGTGGAACAAATTTTATAGTGAGTTAAATAGACAATGAAGTGTCAAAATCAATCAAATTATTCGGTTCACCAGAAATAGTATTCATTATACGGGGTGTCCACAGTAATATCCAATAACCTAGGAACGTACAGGGGAAGCAATAATACTTTATTGGCCCTTAGGATCTGGGAAACTAACAACTCGTTTATAATGTTTAAAAATTTAAATTGGCTCCGGAATTATCCGAGAGAAACTGAAATCTGAAGAATGTAATAAAAATTATTGTCCTTGTGATTTTAAAAACCAAGAACAATTTTTTTAAGATACCTTCTCAATATTTTTTTGTTTCTGTTCTACTAGAAACTGTTAAACTAGAAAAGCCTCTGTGATGGGATCAGTCCTGACAACACTGATTGATTGTACGAACTTGTACCATAAAATCACGAAGCCTTACCGGTAACACTATACTAGTTTGCAGTCTCAACTACATCCCAACTTGAAGACATTCTGGGGTCGCGTTTCGGTCACCAAAAAGCATGATTAGCAGATGGTATGAACTGATGATATCATAATACTAACATGGTTAACAAAATATTCCAGTCCAGAAGCTATACAAATTGTGGTTTAGTTGCGGCAGCTAACTAATATTGCATCGATTGTCCACAACGGGCTACAGTCTTAGGATACTTACCAGCAACACATCATCGTCATTTTATTAAAATGAATGAGATAATTTTGAAGCTAATAGCAGTTCCTTCTTCCTGGTACGCTCTTAAGAAGTTACTAGGTTACTAGGTTAAAATGTATAAGATATTTTTTAAGCCAAAAGCAGTTCCATTTTCCTGGTACGCTCTTAAGAAGTTACTAGGTTTTCAGGGGTCGAAGATAGTAGGAAAAAAGTTTTCCAAAAACATCAAAAACTTACTTGAATCCCTTGTCGTCTTCTTGCCCATTGACTTGTTGCAACTGCGGTTGTCCGTTTACACCGACCACCCCGTCGGAAACGTCTTTGGGGCTTTGCTGAGGCTTCCCGCTTTGGTCTTTCGTATCTTTGTCGTCGTTCAAATGTAGCGCGCGCATTCGCGGTTCCAGTCCATCGGTGCCGCTGCCTCCGACTTTGAGAGTCGGGGAGCTACCCAAAACGTACTCCACCATTTTGACCCCCAAACCACCAGGTCCGTCCGAACCTCGGGGCGACAATATGCCGCCCGTGTCACCACCCGCGCCCGCGAAACCGCCACCCCTCCTACCCATTGCCAGCGGGGCCGAAACTGCATGTTCACCTATGAAGAAAAGAAAATATCAACACTGAAAAATATCCAAAGTTATTAAATAATTTTGTTTCAATTTATAGATCACATATGGGAATTCTTCCACTATACATATTTTGAAAAACTTTACGGGGTAATTAAATGTATGGGAAAAGTGAAAGACCTTGAAGAAGAGCCATTCCATCAAAATCAATATTTTTAGAAAAATTAGTTTGTCAGTTTCATTTTCATGGACAATTTTCTCAAAACACATTTTCTTTACGATATACGCAAAAGCAAAGGATCAGGACAATTAAATGAAATATCATAGAGAATACTTGGAGTTAACTAACTACAAGTTAAAAACGAATTTAAATATAAATTGTAATTAGATAACTAAACTTTATTTAACTTTAAAAACTGGAGCTTATAAAAAATCGCCAGTGGCAAAAAAAAAGGATTTGGGTGTGGCATTCAGTAGGTCAGTTATAGAAAAAAATGATTAAAATCAATATGTCGATAAATAGAACAGATCCTTTTTTTTTTTCATAAAATTTGGTACTTATTTGTTAATTTCGTTAATTTTTGAACTAAATATATAATTATTTTTTATTTTTAACATTGCTATGAAAATAATTTTATTTATTAAGTAATTTTATATAAATTAAAATTAGTTACAATCTATTATAATAAAGCACATATTAAGTGTGTATGTGAACTTCATTAATTAAATATATTGTAATGATTGGCTATTTAATTGATATGAAATTTTGTTGATCAGGCCGATTGATGTACCCTAAATGTGGTGTGGTATTTAAAAATTTTAAAATTTAAAAATTTTCAAATGTTTATTTTCTAAATTTTGGTTTTTTAAAATTTACCAAACCTAATTTCATTTAATTTATTTACAGTTGCAGTTACACTTTCGCCGATATACACATTTGATCCAAATCATTATGGCAAAACTTGTAGAACCCTGAAGGTCGTGTGTACAGGAAAGTGATGATACTAAATACTATTAATTTAAAAAAAAGGAATACAGAAATATAATATATGTTTAAATTAGACCCAAGAGTAAGATAAATACGAAGTTTGCTGGATATTTATTGTAAGTATTCTAATATCACTCCGGGTCTGAGGAACCTTATCTTATCGCGCATTAAACAGTTCCATTTTAATTTTGGGAATCCCGTACGATAATTCGCAACATTCAGTGCAAACAGCGTATTTTTTAAATTAATTATCCAAGAAATCTTACCGACACCATAAGATTTATTATGTGACCAATTTTCCGATGCCATCTGAAATTTTTAAGTCGATATTATTATTTTCCCACTCGCTGTTTAATATTATGTTGATTTACATAATATTTTATGAGGTGAGAATTTGAATAGAATGTCATTTTGTAAGACACGGTTTTGAAGAGACTTGTGTTCCCAAAGATCCCAAAACTGTTAATTTTATAGAGTTCTAATTTGAAGGGAATGATGTTACATCATGTTTTCAAAATTTTAAAATATTTTGAACTATTTTATACGAATTTCACTCTGAACAGACAATTGTAACTTTTGGAAAATCGATGAAATCGAATTCTTGAACAAACTTTTATTCTTGATGATTTTTTGAAAATGTGCAGGTACTAGAAAATGGGTTCCGCTTTTAATGAAAATTAACCATGACCACGTTACAGTTGTCATGATATTATTGCACGTATGGAAAGCAACGACTTTTTTAAGTTTTTACAAATACATGTAAGGAATGTTTGGGATATTCCGTGTTATCTATGTCTTAAATTTTCAGTTATCGACATCAGATTTGGCAGGGTGGTAAAAGTCCATACCCACATGTAAACTGTAGAAGGTGAATGCAATCTGGGCGAAGTATCTTTTTTAATAAATTTAAAAATGTTTGAGGTTATTTTGTTATTTTTACCAAATCGGCAAAATTCTAGAACCAGACAACGCAGGAGATCCTAGACGTACTTTTCAGACACTTTATCAAGGTGCACGCACTTCCACTTATTCTGCGATAGTTCTATAGTCATTCGCAAGAACACGGTACAAAAACAACGAGTTCTTGAAATAGAAGGAGCCGCAGAGCGACTTTATGGACTACATAGCACACAGCGCGGAAGCAGTCGCCCCACCCAGCGACGAGATTGCGAAAGTAACAATATGTTAGAAGTGTCATAATATATTATTATTTAAAGGACTCAATAACCAATATGGAAAAAACTGACTAATAAATTTAAATATTAATAAAATAAAGGAAAACAAGAATGTTCTAGAAAAAGCGTAAACTTTGATAAACTTGATAAATCTGCAGCCTGTCAGATAGTTTAAATATCTGAACAAGAGCATAATAATATTGACAGTTTAACTTTTCAAAATCGCGTTAACCGAAATATATTCTAATTGCAACCGATACGACCATCTCGTAGCTTCTTTTGCGAATTCGAAAGAGAGGTAGGAATATCGAAAACAGTTTTGACTATTTCCAATTTTAAAAGAAATAAAGTAAAAATTAGACAAAATTTAATAGGCAGTAGAAAATGTTTTGCCTAATGCTTGCAGAAAAGTAAGCTTCGCAGTTGTGAGGTGAATAATTATTTCCTGCTACCTCTAACACTGATATTTTGACGTTTGTCAATTCAAGTTTTATAAGCTACACTTTAGTGAATTTGTTTAGACACGAGCGGAGCAAGTATTTAGTAAACGAGCGTCCAAAGAAACCTGTCGGTTACTGTATGCTTTTTCTACGAACGGCACGAATAGATTCATTGAATGATGTAATGAATGTAGGTAGAGTTGTCATGACTGACAAGCAAATGTTATAAATTACCTAGTACCTAAAGTATCAGAAGCAGTTTTAAATTGAGCGCAAGTTTTAAAATGGCACCTTGCGAAGGCCAGATCAGTGGATAATTGGATATTTTAGAGAGGAGAGTAAAAAATTAAAAGATAACGTTCTGGTGGAATTTGCATACATGATATGAATCTATCGTTGCCATTGCTTAATTATGACTTGAGCGTATTTTTATCCGCACTCAAACTATGCCATTAATTTGCTTTATCAAAACGAAATGTTCGAAATGATACAGTTGGTCGATTTAGCTCGAGATTGTTATTACCAATAAGAGATTTACATACACAGAGAAAAAGGAACTTCAATAACGGAGCTCGTACATCTGCATGGAATCTATACCTGTAACATTAAGCATTCTTTATTTAATCTCTTCTATGTAACAGTTTCGTTATCTTAATCTCTGGCGGGTGTGCAAACTCGGCAGCCGTAACGGCTTTGTCGCGTTTGGTCTCCAAATCGGAATACGCGATAAACGTTGAAACGCTTTCTATATATCGCGTCCAAAACGACCGACTGTACGACACATTCGGACACGTAGGACCGTAACAATGGGCATTTAAATGGCAGAAGAATAGTGGAAGACGGCAGAGAAAAAAATTCGGACAGAATGTCGTCTAGCATCGTCCACGGTTCACGAAACACTTTATCATTGCTACTTAGCTAACCAGCGTATCTGCTATGAATTACTAAAAATGACGGGATTTCCCCGGATGTTTTTGAACTCTATCTACACTAGTGATGGGGCTGGTCAATTGACCACTTCTTAATTGACGAGTAAAGAAATGTTTTACATAATATCTTGCAATTGTAGAGTGTTATATATCATTATTTCTCAAGCTGTATCCGACTACAAATCCCAATAATATCGACTCCATTCGGTGCCCAGAATGACGCGACGGCCACGTAACGCACAATGTAAATAAATATAAATTTCATAGCATTTTTGAAATTATTTCGGACAATTGATCATAAACAATTTGACCGGTCAATGCCACAACTCTAATTTACACCCATAAAAAAAAACCATAAACATCAAAGTTGGTTCTGAGCGTTTTAATTTTCATTGAAGAATTATTGTGCCTTTAAAAGGATTATCCTATTCATTGTAGAAATACAGGTCCAAAATGTTGTTCCTTTTTTTTAATATACTAAGAGAAAATTTTGATTTAATGTGATTGCATGGGTAACCAGACATGTTAAGAAAGAACAAACCTACACAAAGTTATCCACAGTAGATAGGTCAGACCTTTGTGGAAAGGGAAATGTGGGACCGTTCTCAAAAAAAAAATAGCAACAATAATAATAATAACAATAATATTTTAAACAGGACTCCACGCTTGCATGCTATTGCATTTCTCCACTAACGCTTTCTGTTCATCTGCGTATGGATCCCTATACCTGGCTTCGGTTTGTGTTCAAAACAAAGTTCCAATAAAATATATAACTGCCGTACCATGCCATTTAAAAAAATGTACTGGTAGTTTTCAGAAGAAACGAGAACATTGAAACATTTTAGGTCCATAGATAGTGGTTGCTTATGTAAAAAGTCCTACGTCTCGTTTTCAATGAACCTGTCCATCTGCCGTCCCTGATGAAGATCCGCAATAGAATTGCATTCGGAAATACCATACCAACATCAAGTTATCAAAATTTGATTTTACTAAAATTTTTTAACATTCTTGACTGAAATTGAAACATATTTTCACTTCATCTACGGTTTCCATTTGAATATTTCTGTAGAGAGCATCAATACGAAATTGGGTTTATTTACCGAAACGACGTGCCGAAATTAGTGGAGGTGCACCACCCATGGAAAACCACCCAATTCTGATTAGCTTTTATAGTATACCCGTGACTAGTGTTGGGGCTGGTCAATTGACCACTTCTTATTAGACTAGTCAAACGCGATCAAAATGCTTGAAATAACATCTTGCAATTGTAGAGTGTTATCTATCATTATTTAATAATCATATGTATTTTACAATAAATTATTATCCGTTTGTGATGTATAAATTACCTATAGCCCTCTTCAACAATACTCGAATACGATACTGATAAACAAAACTTTAGTTCACAGCAACGGCCCCGGGAAGAAAATCAAACAAAGAACGAATCACGTTTCTAGCTTGCAGAAACTGGGATGGTACGTAATAGGGTTGTGGCATTGA